ACTTCCTAATTTATAAGTTAGGGGCAAATTCTTTTCCAACTTCAAAATTGTCCATGTTTAAAAAACAAAAAAAACAAAAAAATCTAAATTATCTCAAATTACAGGATCTCAATTAATGGATGAAAAAATAGTACTTATTATCCAGCACCTTTAATCATATATGGTTAATGTACTATAATCCCATGTAATTTTCATGGTAAAACACATTTTTAAATTTTTTTAATAAAATTATGGTGATATGATAAAAAGTTAATGTAACGGTGGGTATAATAAACTCGATTGCGTTCACCCTCGATCATGGGAATGGATGAAGTTCGAAAAAAGACAACTGGCGTGTGACTCTCATGGATTGAATTTTGGAGCCAAAGGTATGCGCGACACAATGGCAAAGGGCACGGGCAGACACAAGATTGATGACAGGGATTTGTTTGGAGGAAAGATTGAAGCCTAGAATCTGTTTTATCAATGAAGGCTTAAGTTTGGATATTTATGCATGGGATTGGAATATTCCTTATATTTTTAATTATGAATGAAATGTTTAATCTTCGCAGTTTCAAAAAGGTAAATTCATAAACTATCCATATCGATCAACAATGGCGGAGCCATGGCTATTGTCCCCTAGTTTTTTTTTTTTGAAAATTTTTTAAATTAATTTTTAAATTTTGTAGTTTAGAAAATTCATTTTTTAAAATTTATTTTATTTATTTTATTATTTTTAATATTTACAAAAATAATTATTATTAATCTTTTTGTAAATTTTACCATTCAATTTAAAACAAAATATTGATATAATAATTAATAACCCTTTAAGGCTAACCTATTAACTGTGTAGCAACCATCTCCTAGACCATAGAGTAGATTTTGCTTGTGTTATGTATATTTTGATGACAGAGGTTGAAGTGTTATATTTCTTGATGTAACAAGTTTAACGTAACTTTTGTATCTTACTAATAATTTTTTTTATTGATAAAAAAGGACTAATCTACTAATTATAAAAATAGTAATTTAGCATCAAATATTTTCAGCCGAAAAATTAGTAAAAAAATCTTTCAATTTTTAACATTTCTCTGCCATTTTTTGAAAAAAACCTTAGATCATTATATTTGTATTGTCTAAAATTAGTCTAAAATATTATTTTTAATTAGTTACTAAGATCTATTTTTTAAAGTCAAATATTAAAATTTCACTTCTTACTCAAACTTTTTATTAAGTCAAATCCATTTGTTTTATTTTATTATTTGCAATATAAAGTTTTGATATGTTTCTAAATTTATTATATTTTTTTAGATGTGTTTATTATATATTTTTTCTCACAAATGCAACTAAATAATTATTTATTAATCACAAAAAATTTCGAAGAATAGTATAATTCATATTGAACATGACCAAGTTTGATTTTAGGCACAAATTTATAGTTTTACAATTATGTGTTATTATTCCCTTTGGTCCTTTTTAGTTACCTAATTTCATCTACTTTTTGTTAATTAACTTAATAATTTTATACAAACAAATTAATGCCAATTGAAATTTTTTTCGATCTAAGTGAAAATATTCAACGGGTTATGTTGGGGAAGAAAAAATGGTTTTAATTGTCATCCATTTGCTAAATAAAATCACTAAATTAAAATTTATGTAAAAGTTAAATTAACACTATTAAAATAATATTTTAAACAGAAATTAAAATAATTAAATTAAATTTTATGTAAAAATTAAATTAACACAACTAAAATAATTAAAAAATAATATTTTAAACACAAATTTAATTTAGGTGCTAACAAATTAGTCCCCTTATCTGAAATCCTAACTACTCTACCACTACATGTCAGCGCCATCCTTGGTATCATCAACAGCCCCAAGAGAATTACCTGGTGTAACTCGGTGGAAGTGAAGAGCATTGATTCCTTTGTTATTAACTTTAGGCGGAATATCTTCATCCACTGCATATTTCTGCAATTTTATATAGATTTCTTTTTTAATTAATCCATAAAAAAAAAAAAGAAAAAAAAAGAAGAAAGAGTAGAAGGAACTAACTATAATGTGTTTATGTAGATAGGGGGCAGGGAAATTGTCTTTTCATGGATTTAAATTTGTATAGGGATTGAGGACCTCTTGTAATTCTTTTAACATCATTATTGTGTTTTTGCGTTAAAAAAAAAAAAAGTTTCTTTAGCAATACCAACCTTAACATTTGTCAAGTCTACATCATGTTCCTCCAAGAACCTGCAGAATTCCGTTAAACTTTCATATTTGGGACGGTAATGGCCACTGCAGAGCCATATTCCCTGCTTGTTACATACACAAACGTAAGTTTAGAAATGTTGGAACAATAGGGTGCCAAACAAGGTTTGCTCCTTCACTTGGCTACTACTGCAGAACCGAATCCCAAGTAAAGAAAATCCGCTGAGAAGACAAGTAATCAAGGAAGCTATGGATGCAAAGTGCGTGTTTTGTGATGATAAGATTGAAGATGCAGATCACTTAATGACGAAGTGTGATTTCTCCTATAAAATATGGTCAAAATGTTTTGAATGGTGGGGCATCTGTTATGTTCTACTTCTACACAACAATTGTAGGGAAGTCTTCATTCAACATTTGTGGGCGGTAATAAGGAACAAAAAAGAATGGCAGATAGTCTGGTACACAACTGTTTGGTCAATCTGGTTAGCAAGGAATAACGCTATTTATGGAGAAGGTAGAGCGACCGAAGAGAGCATGCTCAAGATGATTCAATGTCATTCTTATTTTTGGTTAAGTGGAAAGTCTGAAAAGTGGCCTTATTCCTTCCTTGACTGGTGCCAAAACCCAATTAGATGCATAGTTGCAGAACGTGGTAAACACTCCTAAACAAAGGCTCCAGTCATACCTTTTCAATTTTTATCATGTTTAAGGGTTTAAGTATCACTTATACTCAATTAATAAAATAATTTTTGATTTTTCAAAAGAAAAACAATTGTAAGTTTAAAAAATAAGTATATCTAAATGCGTGCACCATGAATAGCTCACTTAAAACTAATGAGCAATTGTGAAATAACTATATGTGTATATATATATATTTTGAAAAACAAACTCAAGGGGTGGATATTGGGACGAGTGGTATGAGTTTGTCATTGCTTCAGTTTGCAGACGACTCTGTTTTTATGGGAAAGGCATGTGCTGATAATTTAAGGGTCGTGAAGGCTATTTTGCATTGGTTTGAATTGATTTCAGGGCTGAAAGTTAATTTCAGCAAGAGTCATTTGTATGGGTTTAACATTTCAGAAGGGTGGGTAAAAGGTGCAGCAGCTATTTTGCATTGTGGAGTAGGCAAGGTGCCTTTTATATACCTTGGTTTGCCAGTAGGGGGGAATCCGGGGAGGAAGAAGTTCTGAAATTCAGTGCTGGACCGTTTTCGATCTAAGCTTGCCTCGTGGAAAAGCCCACTACTGTCCTTTGGAGGTCGGATTACCTTAATTAACTCGGTACTTTCTGCTCTCCCTATTTTTTACTTTTCGTTGTTTAAAATCCCTAAATGTGTGCTTATTGAGTTGGTTAAAATTCAAAGGAATTTTTTTTGGGGTGGTGTGAATTTGGATAAAAAGATTTCATGGGTTAGTTGGGACAGTATATGTGTGGATAAGGAGAGAAGTGGATTAGGAGTGGATGATTTGGAGAGGAGGAATTGTGCTTTGTTGGGTAAATGGTGGTATAGGTTAGGTGATGGTTTAGAGGGTTTATGGAAGAGGGTGATTTGGGAGAAATATTATGGGGGTCGAAAGGAGGTTGAAGTTACTTCATTTGCATCTTTTAATATGTCTCGGGTGTGGAAGGACATTGTGAGTGTGGGTAGTGGGTCTGAAAGGCTTTTGGAGATGCTTGTAAAGGGCTTTAAATGGAAAGTGGGGGATGGAAGTTGTGTGAATTTTTGGAGCGATAAGTGGGTGGGAGAAAAGCCTTTGAAGAATTTATTTCCTAGGTTGTTTGCATTGTCTACAAATAGGGAGGGGTTGTTAAAGGATATGGGTCTTTGGAGTTATGATGGTTGGGTATGGGTTTGTAGGTGGAGACATGGGTGTCTAGGGAGGGCGGTTGGTGAGGAAGAACAGCTTAGGGAGTTGATTGATGGTGTAAAGTTGAAGAATGATGGAGTCGATTCATGGAGATGGATACATAGTGGAGATGGTTGCATATTCGGTAAAGGTGGCGTATGATTTTTTAACACCGAAGGTTAGTATTTTGGATGGGAAGTGGACTAAAGTAATTTGGAGTAAATATGTTCCTTCTAAATTAAGTGTTTTTGGGTGGAGATTATTTTTGAATAGGTTGGCCACAAGGGAGAATTTATGTAAAAGAGGGATTGTTTCATTAGGGGAGGATGTTGGATGCGGTTTTTGTCATGAGGGGGTGGAGCAATTGCATCATATTTTTTGTGAGTGTAAAGGGGTGTGCATACTCTGGATGAAGATTTTGGATTGGTGGGGTTTGCAAAGTGTCTTACCAAATAATATATTTGGGTTGGTGGAGTATGTGGTGTATGGAATAGGTGGGGGAAGGTTGAAGGAGTTGGGAGCTCTTATTTTTTTGGTTGGTGCTTGGTTCGTATGGTACCGGAGGAATATCAAGGTGTTTCAAACTGTTTCTATGACTGAAGCTCAGTTATTGGAGTCTATCCAGGTTAAATCATTTCTATGGCTTAAATATAAAGAATCTGGCTGTGTGTTCTCTTATACAGATTGGATATCTAACCCTATGGATTGTAAGGAAGCCATTGTTCAATACTGTAAAGAGTTGAAGAACTACAAGCAGCTTTAACGTCTCAGGTTATGATTCCTCAATTCTGTTTGGTTTGTATTTGGGTTATTGGGTTTCATTCTCTATTTTGTTCTCAGTTGGATTATGTAGTTCGTTTAGACTTTGTACTGTTATGAAGGAGTATCTCTTATACTCCTACAATAATAAGATTTCATTTTGCTGATAAAAAAAAAAAAAAATTATTTGAAATATAAGAGATATTTTGAACCCATTCCATTACATACCATTTACTGCAAAAATATAAAACCCTCTGTTACAATATCTAATAAAGTTTGTGCACATACAACTGCTTCTTGCCTCTTCGGTAAATGAGAATATATATATATATATATATATTATATTAAGCATGCATATTTAAAAAAAAAAAAATATAGTGTGAGATTTTCTCAAGTGTGCACGTATTACACTACCTTATATTTACCTGGAGGATCCCAGCACGAAGAGCGAGCCTACCAGAAGCAATGGTGGCAGCTCCAGCAAGGAAGCTAGAGTGGTGGAAGAATCCCTTCTTCTTTTCCCCAACGTAGAGTTTCCTTGATGTACTTAAAACGAATATCAATTTAGATCCTTCTGTGCTTGTCAAAGGCTCCCCACCCTTTTTGTAGACAAACTTCCCTTTCTTGATCACAACTTCATAGTCGCTCCTCTCTTTCTGCATGCAGAAACGAAGTTTTTTTTTTCTTTTTTCCTTTTTCTTTTTTAAAAAAAATCAAAGTTACAAAAAGCAATACTCCTATATTTATTACATAAACTTTTCTTACAGGTCCAAGATATTTAACGCATTCTTGTTGTAGTTTGGTCCTAGGGCAGTCCTCAAGATTCACTTCATTGCCATCCCCGTGATCCAACCTTCATTAAATATTTTCCAATAAAATGTGAAAGAAATGACATGCACGGTCAGAGGAATAAAAAATGCAATTAATTCACATAACTTGTAGAAGCTAATAATTTGTGAACTTCTTTTTCATAGCTAGTAAGAGACTAAACATCAAACTTTAAAAGAGTACAACCACTTCTATTATTAGACCACAAGCCACAAACCACAGACTACATATATAGTTGATAGTTAATTATAATTTGTAAACTTACTAAAAGAAGAAGTGTTGAGGGCTGTTATAATTTGAGACTAGCTAGAAATCGTGATACAACAGCAGATCGTTAATTATAATTTGTAAACTTACCAAAAGAAGAAGGGTTGAGGGCTGTTACTTTGAGACCAGATGTCATGATATAACAGCAGATTGTGGCCATAACGATGGCGTGGGTGATCAATCTGCATTTGAATTGAAACAAAAATAAATACATAGTACGTAAAATAAAAGTGAACTATATATGCGAATAAGAAATCCAAATGGATTTTTACATTAATTATTACCCTAAAATGTGTGCGAACTCACCTTTTCAACCCATTGTCTATCATATAAGTGTTGAGCCGTATTGTCCTCCAACAGACCCTTCCCAACCTGCAATATTATGTAGCTATTATAATATATATTGGCCAAAAATAATTTTTAAAAGCTACCCATCTCACATCAAATGCAAGCATGTTATATAATTTCGGACAAAGAAAATCTCACATGATAACCCTAATTCAAGCTTTAAAAGTTATCCCCTTTGCTAACTAATTTATTACACCAACTTTACAAGAAGGTGTAATTTCTGTTTTATTTCAGAATTTGGTTCAAATTAATTTTTAAGTAGGTAGTTATTAATATAGTCAAATTAATAAAGAAATAATTTTTTTTATAAAATTTTTAATTTTAGCATGAATATTAACTTACTTTTAAATTAAACTGAAGATGGATTAATGTTAAAAGGAGCATAAACTATTTGACCACTAAACCAGAAATATATATGTATAGAGTTAGACCAAACAAGAAATTAAAAGGAAACATTAATAATGTATCTTATGTACCCTTGCTGCCAGAGTCATGGCTCGTATCCAAGGACAAACAGGTGTTTCAGATTTCGCAAGATCCAAGAACGAAGCTCTGCAGCAGCTACACTCTGCTTGTTGATCATGTTCAGGCATCCTACATCTCAGAAATATTATCAGGAACTGAACAAAATGATTGCATAAGTAGGGTTTTTCTAACGGTAAAAATCACCAATTTGGTTTTTAATTTTTAATTTTAATTTTTAAAATTTAAATAATTAATAATTAAAAGTTAAAACAGTTAACTTATCAAGTACAAAATTTTAAAATAATTATTTAAAATTCTAGAGTTAGAACTACATTTAATATTTTAAAATTTTTAAAAATCAAAATTAAAAAAATCAAAAGCATAACTAGGAACAATATATATATGTATAAGTTTAAGCCGATGGAGGTTTGAAGCTTTGAACCAATCCCAAAATAACCGGCAAAGTCTCACGCGCCAGTACCACTCCGTCCAAAATGGCCATGTCACCACTCAGACAATAAGGCACTTCCGGTAGAATGAGGCATCTGAGACCGTGAAGGCCTCTTCGATCATCAATAAGTTGGTCACGACACAGACGCCTCTTCCCCCAGCATCGTGCCGTAACGGAAAGCACAGACGGTGAAGACAGCGTCTCGACGAGGCGCGCTTGATCACGGCCACACGAGTGCACCGAATCGGCGGCCAAAGCTCCTCCGCTTGGAATTGGATTTTTTTTTTTTTGGTCAGCGGAATTGTATTGTGTTTACTCCTCCCTTAAACAAAATGCTTTATTTGAATAAACATGAGGATCAGAATTATTTTTTATATAAAAGATTTGAACTTTCGATTACCTGAAAGAGGAAAGCCATCTTGTTTGAGAGGAGAGGAAGAGGTAAGGCTCCTGAGCTCGAGAGAAATTGGGTCTATTATCATCACCTTCAGAAGTTGCGCAATTTGATTTCATTGTTGTTTTTAACTTTTGGTCTTGCATTCTGCTCTCCCCCCCCAAAGGTAAAATCTCTAGGCTCCACCCTTGTTTAAGAACCCAGATGGAAGGAATCAAGTAACTCTTAGTAATGAAGAAGCTAAGGGAGAGGAGTTCCTGGAAATGATAAAATACAGATCTTTTTGTTTTTTTGGTGGAAAGATCTTTTTGTTGGGTTCCGAGCAAAATATGGTTCCTAACAGTGGCAGAGACAGGAGTTTTAGTTTAGGAGACTGGATTTTTAAGTTTCAAAATAATATATTATAATTTTAAAAGTTTATTTTTATATCATAAATTAAAATAATATTTAACGAGTTTTTATATTATGAAATCTATTTATAATAAAGTTTA